CACCAAAAACCTCATTTTCTGCCGTTTGGGGTATTCTAGCCGCAATCTTCCTGGGATCGCCTATGACATCAGTAGAGCCATCTAACGAGAGGAACGCGGAAACACAGAAACATGAATGAATCGAGCGCGTAGCAAACGGTGTATGAAAGGGAGACTCGGCAGAGGCTATCCGGGTGGCCGGCGCGGCGCGCCCTTAGGCATCGGCCGACCCTTCGGACCGCGTGGGGTCAGAGGTCGCGCTCGGGAAGTCTCGGCTCTGGGTTTTAGCGCTGTGCAGTCAGGAAGGGAGGATAGGATAGCGCTAGCCCGACTGACTAGTATCTCGGCTGATTCGTGTGGGATGGAAGGGAGCACAGAACGGGATGGTGGCTAGTGGTGGATGATGGGATGGTGGTTAGGTTAGTGCGTAGTCGTACTGCGTAGAACGTAGCTGAACATGCATTTTTTCATAGCAAACAACATGCAGCATAATGCGCGGGATTATGCCAGAACTCATACAAAAAGGAAATAATATTTCGGCCGAGGGAGTGGATGAGTGCCGTGACAAAGCATGACGATGCTGCCAAAATCGGGATGTTTTTTTGCCCCCAGTTTTTTTTACCCCTAACATGCAGCGCTTGATCCGAACTTAGAGGTCCCCGACTGACCTTAGACCTTAAAATCGCACCCGTCCGGTGCGCCACCTTTTCTTCAGGGGCGCTCTTCTTGGTTGTATCTGTTCTTACCAATAACTAAAGCAAATCGAATGTTTAATAAAAAAGGCATACCTCAAACACAGTTTTATTCACATCCGCTCGTGCGCATACTTGTTTTGACCTATACCTTCTCGCATAATATATCACTTCAGTGCTTAACCCTCAATGGAATTTTGGGTTTTCTGCATATACCCCGGCCGAGGGGAGGGGGGCGATTATGACCCCTCTCCGTCTTTTTGCCCCTAATTGAGCTAGCGCCTTGCGGATAAAATTGAGCGCGTGCGTCGTATGAGATGCAGCAACTGGTACCCGAGTTGAATGTCTCAGGTCAACCGGTAAACTCTGAGGTCAGTATAAGTGCTCCAAGTCGCGGGATCGGTTTTTGGTAAACAACTTCACCATAAGTGGTTACAGAGCCAAGATAATGGCACCATTGAGTTTTGCATGCTCACGCGCGTCGAATAGCGTAATTTGTTTTTGTTGAGGTCAATTTAAGGTGTTCACCTCAGGTCATGTCAGGGCAGAGCCACTCAGGCCACGAGGCTGGCTCAAGGAGGTCATACCGCTTCTTTGATTCGGTAGGTCCTCACAAGTCAACTGGTGGCTTCACGACTCGCTAGCTCAATTTGATCGGGACTTTTTGGTGAAAACTCCTGTAACCTTACTGACGTCCTAAATGAAGTCGCCTAACTTTAAGAATGGAAAAGTGAATGCTGGGGCTTCCAAAGATTGTATAAAATCGCGAATTAGTGCGCTTGAAACAGCTTTAGATGGCTCCCGGCGCCAAAATAACAGTTTTCATATTTCCCAATTGATTAATAATCGTGAGGTTGCGTGACCGACCTGACTTCAGGTGACTCTTAAGAAAAATACGAGAAAGCTACATACAAGTTGTGAGGCCTCTGGGAGATAGTACTAGATCATATAAGCTTCATTCCCCGTTGAAAAGTCCCCTGGCACGAAGGGTGCTGCGACATCGCGACATTTTGGGACCTTACAGAGGTTCACTTTTGACGTCATTGGTCAACGGCCTGACCTTAACCTTCGCACTTGTAGGAGGGTGTCGAACAGACCTCCTACCCTCAGTTTTCCGCAAATAACTCGCGTAAAAAGCGGCTGATTGCGACGAAACTTTCAGTACCCTCGAGTTAATCAATATAACGCCTACCCTATAATTTGTATGACCCTGACTCAAAAGACCTTTGACTTGTGACCTGTTTTCCGAGACCATGTTTGGCCGGAATCGCGTTTTGGCGTATTTCGAGTAGAGCGCGTTTTATTGTCTTTTTAGCTTTAAGCGATCAAACATGTGAAAGGATGTTGATCCCATGGATTCTAGTGGGTGTCAAGGTCACGTGAAGGTCAGTCAGGTCACTGACCTTTGATGACCTTTGTTCACTCTTTCGAGTTCTACATGTTTCTAGGGTAGATTTTGGAGTTGATTTCGCATTTAGAAACCGTTTGAGCATTAAATAAGTAGTTTTGGTTCCCTCGTAACATGTGACCTGACCTGACCCGACCTGGCCTAAATGCACGAAAACATCATCTGTGATCAAAACTAACTTGAAATTCGTGGTCAGCACCCCGCAAAACCCTATAACAGCTTCACTTTACGAAGCTCTAACAGGTCCCGATTCCCCGACTTTTGAGTTATATTGACCTGTCAACCAATGACCTATGACCTTAAAATTGGGTATCATCGGCCTCCTCTCGTCACGGGAAACACGCTCTTTTTCCGCGAAGCTCTAGCTCGATCAGGGGCTGAACGGCAAAGGGGTCCAACGGACCCTCCCCCCCCCCCCCTTTACGATAGACGCTGGCAAAACACCAATATGGGCGAGGGTGAAAATACAGCTGCTGTCATAAAAATTCACCTTGAATCAAAGGTCAGGCTTGCCAAATTTCAGCTCCCGCAGCTATCAACAAAAATAAACATGTGGAGGCGGCACCCGCCCCCCCCCCCTCTCCTCTCGGCCACTGCCAGCGAGGTTTTAGGCGTATCATACACGTTACAAAGCATCATATCAAGATAACACACCCCAGCAGCCATATGCACTGAACAAAAACTTATTACCCTCGCTTGTCTATCGGCACCATAGCACATGGTCGAGACTGTCGTCAGCCACGGACGCGCACTCGACCAACCCTCTGAGCCCGTTGACTGCGGGTGACCTTGACATGTCAAGCCTGATCGGCGGCCGGCCGCTGTCGTGCGGTCGTTACACGCGAGGGGAGGGAGACACAAAGCTCTACGTTATAGCTGACCTCTGACCTTTCCCTGCGCCCTGGTCACTGACCCCGCTCCATGTCGCTGGGCGGTGGCATGGCGGTGGAAACCGGTTCTAGCCTCTACACAAGTCACCATTCTAACCCTCCCCTCCCCACGCTACTACGCGGCGTGGAGTACGCTCGTGCGTAACTGGGCGGAGCAAGGGGTCACGCGATACAGGGGCGGAACTGGTTGCCCTCCCGCTCGCCGAGCGACCAACGACTAATACCCTGGAGAACCGTACAAAAAGCTACCTCAAGCGGCGCGCGCGGTTTTTATTCACACGCAAAAAACGCGACAGGGTGGTAACATATGCCCCCCCCCCCACTTGGGCGAAGGTTAAGCGCCTTGTCGCGTTTTTTCGTTCGCCGCCTCGTGCGTTTCGCTGCGCCTATTGGTTCTCGAGTTATCGGCTGGGGGCGTTTAACGCTCCCCTCCCTCCCCAGCAAACGGTGGGTGGCGAAATACCCCAGCAAGTGCCGGACTATGAAAATTGCCTTCGGCGAGCATTATTTTATATGTATCAGAAACAATTATCTACCTATGTTGAAGGATTTTCTCAGCCAGCTTCACTCAGGAAATGTTTGAACTTTGAAACATCTGAGGAAATCGACATGAGGCTTCTTAGAATACACATTTGCGATGCTTTGTATTGCAGAAAACATTATGTACAACACTTGCACATAGCTAACCCAGATAACGGCAAATGAGAGAGCATATCATCGTCCAGCCTCCAGCAGCCGGCAGGTGGCAACCGGTGCAGGTCGCCGGACGATGGTCATATCAGGTCAGGTCAGGTCAGTCCGGGTCAGGTCACCCGTTTGCAGACTATGTGTTATGGCTCCGTGCAGCCGAGTCCATTAGAACTGCTCGTCGAAGGTGACCTGCTGCGGCGCGTTGGCGAAGGCGGCGGCCTGCGCGGCGGCGTTGGCGTCCACCGGGATGGCATCGCCCTGCGGCTGGAAGCCGTTCTCGTCGGCCACCCAGTTGACGGTGATGGTCTGGCCCTCAGGAGTCTGGAAGCTATAGGATCCCTGCATGACGATGCCGATCTCCTCTCCGATTTGTTTGGGCTGTCCGGCCACGTCCTGCTGGATGGGGTCGGTGGTCTCGAAGCCGTACTGGAACGAGCCGTCCTCGTTCATTGACGATTCCATGCGCAGGATGCCGGCGTCTTCCAAGGTCCTATACTGGGGCCGTGGCTCCTGGTAGATGACGGAGTCGTCTACAAAATCCTGTGGCCGCGCAGCCACCAGCGCAACCAAACAGCAGACCAGTACCTGAAAAGGATTGAAATATGTAATGTCCTGAACACGAAAAGGAAAACCTTACAAGTCTTTTTTTACATTTTTTATAATGATACTTTTTGATCTAATAAAAAATGCAGCTTTATGAAACATAGTACGAAGATCAATTTTGTTGCGTGATATGTACTAGAAGTACAAAAAATATCTGCCTCAGAAATGAAACTACATACATCACGATGGCTCGTAAAATTTGCTCTCTCATATGTGTTTACCGTACCGTCCAGAAATGTTTAGAATAATGATTAGTTTTTCACCTTACACAAAACACCTTTTATATTATGTTTGTTTAATATTGGAGGAGAGCTTTAGCGCCAAGTATAAAAGTAAAAACAAATTACAGAGGTGTGGATATCGCTTGTGCCAAAGCAAGCATAGAATCGCTTTATCTAGCAATTTATTAGAAATTCATTTTTTTATAAGCTTATTTTCAACACAAATAATATTTATTATAACTCAAACAGATCGCGCACTGTTGTATCTCTGCAGTTGCGTACATTTGGTGAGCCTTGCATCAGTGCACTCGGTGACGTTTTCTACTCACGAGTTTTATCATCGTTGCCAGAGTCGGGTCCGTGTCGTACGTAGCTGCACGAGCCAGGTCGGAGCGCGCAGGCCAGTGTCGGCCGATCGCCGGCTCCTCCGCTATATACCTCCGTCTCCCACCCATTGGGCCCGATCACTGTGCATCTCAGACTCAGCGGCTCCTAATCCAAGACTTTAACTACCGTCACGCAAGTAAATTACAGCTTCATAGCTCTAAAACCATTGGACTCGGATTTAGAAGCGTGCATAGACGGATGTTGGATAAACCCGGCTGAAAGCTTTGAGGCAAGTCATGAATATTTATTATAATATACACATTACACATCTATCCCAGAGGTGAATTGCCTGTTAAGAGTAAAAAGGATTGTGACAAAGCCAGTCCAGGTAGCACTTATTAGATACATTAGCACTACATGTCTTCCACGTATAAAGGTTTCTACAATCAGCCTAACTATCGCCTGGGATCGAGGATCGAGGAGACTTATTACTATCCTGCGCGGCTGTCATATTTTTCGCATCTACCTTAATCTATAAAGTGCAAAAAAGCAAAACATTGATAAGCATTCGTGAAGTTAAATCCAGGACGAGCTTGACCTCCGATGTCATGTGTTGACAAAGCTTAGTTATTTTTTTCAAGCCTCTCACGGTTCATAATTTCTGAATAATCTTTTATAAAATGACATTCTTTTACTCGATAAAAATGGAAACAGGAAAATGATACCACTCACCAAAAACATGATCAACCTAAGGTGCCAACAGGACAATAAATATCGTGCAAAACAATTTCAATGTTCGTTTTACATTTTATTCGACTTCATGCTGTTGATTATGATCGAGTATATACGCGCGCTGGGATTTGTCAAATCACAGACCACCACATCGCCTATTAGATGTTAGCATAACACATTTAACTGTTATCATGACACTTCAATGTGACGGTAGGTATATGGAAGAGAAGCCTGATCTTGGAATCCTTAATATGGCTTACTAACTGCATGACTCATTATTCTTACTGCCAAACTTCCACGCATCGATTCTTAAACGACAGTGAGCAGCATCGGAGCACTGCTGGCTCGCTGCCAGAAGACCAGAACCAATGCTATCATCACAATGATAAAGCACCGCAAAACTGGCTCCTTGCGCTATTCCATGCCGCCGGATTAGGCTCGTCGTCCCTGCCGAGTATAAAAGTCCACCAGTGGTCTCTTCTATCATCAGTGATCATCGAATCGCGGAAATCACCACCATGAAATTCGTAAGTTGTCTTGTTCTTCATTCGCTAGTGTGTGTCTACATATTTGCTGTCTTGTCGGTGCTTTCACCAACATCATTTGTTATCTTCATTTTCTGCTTTTGTGATATTTCAATTTTAGTCCAAAGCATCACTTAAGAATAGGAATAGATATATGTCAATTAAAAACCAGTGAAGTCCAAAATAACGGAAGTCAGCTCAATTTAGCAATACCTCAATGCCTAATCCGCCTTCACTTGAGGGAAAATTGGCAGCACATTACATATATCCTAACGATCAGTTATTAAATGTTGTTGACAAATCTTGAGTCGGAGTTAATTTATCATAACGTAACTGAAATGGTAAGGATCAGGGAAAAATAAAAAAGGCCTTTAATTCTGCATCAGCCATTAAACATAGTGAGGCAGTACGCCGGCGGTCGTCGGCCTTTTCTGGGTGCGACTGCATGTGTTGCCAACCATAATAAATAATATATTGTTAAAGAGATTGTGCCATCAATCGTCGCTTTTTATTACTGGTACGCCACTGCCTCTGCATTCATACATCATAATCCTTCTTGCAGGTATATGCAGAGATGCCCCTGAATTGCTTGCTCTTGTTAAAAATAGAATGATAATCTTTACTTTGTTCATTTGCAGTTCCTGCTGGCTTCTCTGGTGGTGCTGGCGGCCGCCCGGCCCCAGGACCTGGAGCCCCAGTTCAAGACCCTGGAAGATGCCGGCATCCTGCGCATGGACTCGACCATGAACGAGGACGGCTCGTTCCAGTACGGCTTTGAGACCACCGACCCGATCCAGCAGGACGTGGCCGGACAGCCCAAACAAATTGGAGAGGAAGTTGGAATCGCCATGCAGGGATCGTACAGCTTCCAGACTCCTGAGGGTCAGACCATCACCATCAACTGGGTGGCCGACGAGAAGGGTTACCAGCCGGAGGGCGATGCCATCCCGGTGGCTCCGTCAGTCTAAGTCCATACAGAACCGAGTACCAGACCATCCCCTGGATCCCTGGGTGAGATCTGACGTCCGTGACACCAACCGTTCAGCCACCGCCCAGAGGCCTCCATCCGGCCACCCGGCGACCCACACCCGAATGTCCTCAGTCTTTATGTCATAATGCGCTCGCGGTCACTTGTATGCTGTGTGTATGTACATAGAAATGCATGCAATATATATCAGCAGCAATCTGTACGGTGTTTAGAAATAGGAACATTGGCGAGTGTTTGAATGGGTTCACGAGGAAGCAAAGCAATAGAGGGCAGTAATCGCCATGCCATGTGTGGATCGCCCATGATCGTAAATACATACATACATACATACATACATACAATATTTGACTGACGATCAGTTTTATATGCGTCACAGTCATGTTTGCAAGAACAGCCTGGCGTAACAAAATTAAAGGCTCATGGTCGCCACATGTGTTTGACAATGCCTGATATCCCTCTTATATTATACATACCGGGCTTCTCAAAAAAGTTAGACGGATTTCTTTTGCGAATAGAGGACCCTAACAACATTTAAGCAAAATCAATGCACGTGGAAAAAACGGAGTATTTTTAGTAGATTTATATGATACCATGGTTGTTGGGCTTAAAGGGACCCTCCCACCTTCAAAAAAGTTAATGAATTGGCATGAAAGTGATGTCGCTCGGTTCAGAAAGTGCAAAAACAAATATCTACCAAATTTCATAGAAAAATATTCACCGGTTTTCAAGATATTAGACTTTTACTTTTGTTTACTTTTTGGGATGTCCGCTGTTCCTAGCGACTTTATTTGAAAGTGCGGCATTTGTTGCGCGCAAAGCAGCATATACCACCGCGTGCTACAAAACGTTTTAGTCAAACATTTAAAAATCGTTAGATATCTGCGCTGACGTCACACATTCAGAGGGGTATTCCTATGCATTAGCCCCTCTGAATCAAAATGCTGCAATTTTGAAATTCAATATTTCCGATTTAAGGCATTTCTCGATGTTGTGAGTGCCGAAACCGGTAATTGTGAGCCAGGGACCCCATTCTGGCTATCTCAACTCAAATCTAATGTTAAGGTGGGAGGGTCCCTTTAACCCGCGCCCGGCTGGGGTTCGTGGATTTCCACGCCCTGCTGGGGGGGGGGGGTGTTTGAACATCCCCCCCCTTGTAACTCGGCTCCTGGGCCACGTAGCGATACGCGGTAGGCGGCGTTCGAAAGAGCGTCAAAAATAATGACGAAATCACTTCGGTCAATTTTTTGGTCAGGTCAAAGGTCAGGTCACCAGAGGTCATTGAAGGCAAAATTTCGCCGATTTCCAGGTCGAATATCGAAAATCTCGAAGAAGCCAACGCATAACTCGAGAACCAATAGAGCTACAGCGCCGCGGAAAATCGCATTCGATAGCCCTATTAACCCTCGCCCGTATAGGGGGGGGGGGGGTCGAACGGACCCCCCCCATGGTTTTTCGCGAATAACTCGCGTAAAAAGCGGCCGATCGCGACGAAACTTTCAGTACCCTCGCGTTGATCAATTTTACACCTACCCTGAAAATTTTATGACCCTGACCCCAATGACCTTTGACCTGTGACCTACTTTTCGAGACCATGTTTGGCCGGAATCGCGATTCGGCGTATGTCGGCTCGCATTAGCCGCGCGTTTGCAGTCTTTTCGTGGTTTCAAGCGTTCAAACATGTGATATGATGTTGCCCCCATGCATTAGGGTGGGTGTCAAGGTCACCTGAAGGTCAGGTCAGGTCATTGACCTTTGGTGACCTCGGTTCACTTTTCGAGTTTTACATGTTTCTAGGCCAGTATTTGGAGCTGAATTCGAATTTAGTAACCATATGAACGTTTACAAAGTAATTTTGGTACCTTCGTAACATGTTACGAAGCTGTCAGAGGCGGTTGACACCTACCAGGAATACCCGGCAGGACCCCTACTGGTTGACCTGACCTGACCTGACCCGACCTGGACTAAATGCATAAAGACATCATCTGTGATCAAAACTAACATGATATTCGTGATCGGCGCCCCGAAAAACCCCATAGCAGCCACACTTTACGACGTTCTAACAGGTCCCGATTTTCCCGACTTTTGGGTCATTGACCTGACCTGCAAGGTCAACCAATGACCTAGGACCTTAAAATTAGGTATCATCGGCTTCCTCTCGTCACGGGCAACACGCTCGTTTTTTCCGCGAAGCTCTAGCTCGATCAGGGGCGAAATGGCAAGGGGGGGTCCAACGGACCCCCCCCCCCCTTATACGTTCGCGGGTGGAAAAACACCAATACGGGCGAGGGTTAAAGTCCTTTCTGAATAATTCTCTCAGATTTGACCTAACGTCAGCGGTTTTGCCTGCAGGGGGCAAAAATTGCAAAAATAGCCGATTTTTTCGGAAACAGTTTTCTGCAATAACTTTTGACCCAAGCCTTGTACGAGCTTACTTTTACCGGCATTGTGTTCCTCTCGTCAAGACGCATCGAATGAACTATAACTTGACCTTGAAAGGTCAACTTGAAAATTTGACCTCAGGTCAAGGTCATGTCCTGACCGGAAAGGGTCATGTTGCATATCAGTCGATCCGTATCGTCAAGCTGAACACATCTAAGGCGTTTTCATCGCTCTAGCATGCCTCTATCAAAAGTTATTTGCGAAAAACTGTTAGATACCATTCGTGACCTAAGATGACCTCAGGGCATAAACAAGGGTCACGGACACCATTTTCATGTTCAGTGTGTCTAAAACACTTGTAATTCGGTGTTTGGGAGTGTTTATAATGTATTTTGTCCAAAAGAGGCGCATTTCAATTTTCTCCCATTGACCTTAGGCCTAATGGGGAGGCCGCAAAATTGACCTGACCTTAGGTCATCGATATCAAAATTCTGAGATATAAATTTTGTACATGCTATTGCTCTTAGCAATCGCTGAAAGTTTCAAAGCGATCGGTCACTCGGTGTAGCTATGACAGACATTGAAACTTTTTATGAGGTGAGGTCACTTCAAGTGACCTGGTGACCTGACCTTGAATGACCTTGGTCTGAAATTTTCACAACATGTGTAGAATTGATGTACGATAAGGTGTACCAAAAACGGCGGCGCTCGGCGCCGCCGTTTTTGAGATATTTGCGAAAAACCACAAGGGGGGTGTTCAAACACCCCCCCAGCAGGGCGCGGGTTAACCCGCGAGTTGCTGGGGGGGGGGCGTTAAACGCCCCCACTTTTTTCGCCGGGCCATAGCATAAAAACGGCGCGCCGCAGGCGCGCCAAATTTTGTGTACCTGTAGGAAATTGATTGAAGTTTATTGTGACAAAGTTTCAAAAAAATCGGCCGGAAAATTTTTGAGATATCGAGGTTTTAGTGACGTCATGATTTCTGAGTTTTCGACCAAAAACGGCATATGTTCAAAAAATAATATAAAATCACAAAATAGACATATAGACATGCCGTAAACGCCATTAGACTGCCAATACCATGGATAATAAAATGGCTATCTTCGATTATTGATTATCGTTCCGCATTTTCCAAAATCTTGAACTGAATCTTGGCAATTTCTCGTGACTACTTCACGACCATGATACATGAATTTCTTAAATTGAACTTTTTTAGCCAAACACGTACACATATGATAAAATGAATGTCACCATCGTGTTCTACGCCCTAAATTACCCATAAAACATGTGTCACAGGCTGCGAATATCAGTTTTTATTTTCGGGGATATGTGCCTGCCCGGTTGACCTGACCTTGACCCTGACCTATGCTTGACTGACCCCTGCATGGAGCTGACACTCTTGTAGGCCTTATATGATGGATTGTGCACTGTTTTGACAGAGTTTATGACGAGAGGCGCCCATTGCGAAGTCCTGAAGTCCATGCTACTGAAAGCCCGATTTCAGGTGTTTGACCTGACCTTGACCTGACCTGTGACCTCAAAATTCAACTTTAAAGTACTCATCTGAAGCGTCTCGTCGCGTTCTTTCGTTTGCCGCCTCGTGCGTTTCGCTGCGCCTATTGGTTCTCGAGTTATCGGCTGGGGGCGTTTAACGCCCCCCCCCCCAGCAAACGGTGGGTGGCGAAATACCCCAGCAACTGCCGGGTTAAAGGGACTGTCCCACCTTTGCATTAGTTCTGAGTTGAGATAGCCAAGTTGGCGGCCAGGTTCAGAAACCACTATATATCCTGGTCGCAATATCCTCAGTTTCGTGGTGTTAAAGAAATTCGTTCCCTTCATTTGAAAAGTGGGCCTTAGCTAAGGCCCTATCTCTTAACTATTAACGGCCATTTGATGACGTCATTACTCATTTGCCTTTTGAACGCCTGTCATACATTCAAGTGAAGTATCACTTGATTTACGAATAAGCCAATCAGAGACACTCTTGTTATTGTATGAGCCGCGTCATATTTGAGAGCAAATATATTTGCTGCCAAATTTCCCCTCACATTGACATGAAGTAAATACTTCATTACGTCACAGATTCGATATAAATGACGTCACGATGAAATATGAAAGTCACAATATCTCAAAAAGTATACGATGAAAACGCGTAAAAACTTGCAGAATTCGTCAAAATATCATGAGTAACATTTCCGAATCCTAAACGGTACTTTTTTGAAGGTGGGATAGTCCCTTTAAAAATGAAGCCGTGGTCTTAGGAAGTAAAAGGAAAACTCGTGAAATTATGCTTTCGCAGACTAAGTCGGACGGTTCGACACAATGGAAGATCCGCAAACACTTTAGGGCAAAGAGAGCACCATTTTGAAACAAAATTTTTCACATCATTGACAAGTTTCTGGCTCGAGGAAATGTTGACAATAGGTTCACGCAATTCAAAGAACACAGCGGCGGCCATAAACCCAATCAAAGGCTCACTGCGAACACCACTCGTGTGAGAGATGCGCTACTCAGACTGTCAATGGTCAGCGATATCGGGTGGCTCTGGCGACGTTTTGGAGGGTTCTGCAGTATCATGATGAGCAGAGATCCGGAAACGCTTAAGAGCCAATGGTTCCAGCAAGACGGTGCCACGCCAATACCGCAAGGTAGCCGATAGTTTCGGAGCTTCACAAATAGTCAACAGTTTCAGGCAGGTATCAACACTTGATTAAAGGGACCCTCCCACCTTCAAAAAAGTTAATGAATTGGCATGAAAGTGATGTCGCTCGGTTCAGAAAGAACAAAAACAAATATCTACCAAATTTCATCGAAAAATATTCACCGGTTTTCAAGATATTAGACTTTTACTTTTGTTTACTTTTGGGATGTCCGCTGTTCCTAGCGACTTTATTTGAAAGTGCGGCATTTGTTGCGCGCAAAGCAGCATATACCACCGCGTGCTACAAAACGTTTTAGTCAAACATTTAAAAATCGTTAGATATCTGCGCTGACGTCACACATTCAGAGGGGTATTCCTATGCATTAGCCCCTCTGAATCAAAATGCTGCAATTTTGAAATTCAATATTTCCGATTGAAGGCATTTCTCGATGTTGTGAGTGCCGAAACCGGTAATTGTGAGCCAGGGACCCCATTTTGGCTATCTCAACTCAAATCTAATGTTAAGGTGGGAGGGTCCCTTTAATCTGGAGAGCTCACGATATCGCACAGTGCGTCAGACACATATACGGTTAAGTCCTGTTTTTAAGCATGTATTGGGAATGTGTGTCATACGCTTCCACATCATACTATACCGGCGAATGTACGAGAAATAACTATACAAGCTGTGTAATGTGTATGTGCACAAAATTTTATACACCGATGCGTCTTGTCAGGGATGACAATTTAGCTTCTGAATTGCCAGATTAGATGAGGAATATACTCAACTAACAAGGATCAGTGGTTGTCAAAGGTAATGACGGGGCCGACCCTAACACACCGCTCTGTATAAAAATGAGCGTCAGCAAGGATGCATGGCTTGAAAGGGCGCGTTCTACTAAACTGATCCTTGTAAAAGGCTAAGCTTATCCACTGTGGCAGATAAATGAGCTCTGAAACTTGTTTTTTTAGAAGCTTGCTGTATTAAGATTTGGGCTTATCTGGGATTAGTTGGTGGTAAGTTAATTAGATAGTGCTACTGTTTGGTAAAGCATCACAGGGAAGCACAGACGCTGCCGGCATAACTTGGCTGAGTTAGCTTAAAGACGGGACTTGATAAAAACGAATCATAGAGAAAAAACGACAAGGGATTCAGCAGTTTGCATGTTCGCTTTATGCTATTGTTACCTCTGTACAAGCCCTAGGCTTTACCTTCTATTTTAGAAGTAACATGTTCCTTATGCTTTTTATGGCGCTGTTATTGTTTTTACTTGAGACTTATTCCAAGCAACTTATACATTTCTTGCGACGCTGGGAGCCCAAGTGCGATTCTGGGGATTGCATTACAACATCAGCTATCAAGGATATGCTGGAAGATATAAAGTGTACCCGCAACCATCGCACTAATCCGGATTTACCGCTACGAGACGCAGTGGACGCATCTGTCAATATATGCCGCGACGTTCTAACGGGAGATGGTTGACATAGCAACAGGCAAGGATTATCAGCGAGCATAAACATTTAGACAAAAACTATAGGATCAGCGTAGGTATAAAAGTGCAGCGAGAAGCGCAGAGGGATAGTTCACTCGTTACAACCAACAAGACAATATGAAACTGGTGAGTGGGTCATAAAAACATACAATATTCGAGCTGATCTATTCTTTACTTTTACGACTGAGCTCCTGTTTCGCTTCTGTTCCTGTCGCCCTCAGTAATGACCACAGTTCTCCAGCCCCCACGACCACGTCTCCCTTTGACCCGGTGGCCATCACAGCCTCATCTCCTTGCCTTGTCTTGGTCTTCCGTATTGTCCTAGCCAGGGCACGTCCTAGCATTACTTTGACCAGTCTTCCACCAAGCCTCGTCCCATTTTGATCTCCCACTGATCGCCTTGCCAACCATCATTTTCCCTTCACACTTTCACCAATAATTTGTCTTCTCTAAGCAGATGTCCAAACCGTCTGAACTCATCTTCTTCAAGGAGATGTCCTCCTCTGATTCTGTCTTCTCCGCCGACAGCTGGTGGTCTGCGCTCTGGTGGCTCTGGCCGCCGCCCAGCCACAGGAGTTCCAGGAAAACCGTCCCCAGTTCAAGACTCTCGAGGAGGCCGGCATCCTGCGTATGGAAATGAGTCAGAGCGAGGACGGCTCGTTCCAGTACGGCTTCGAGACCACCGACCCGATCCAGCAGGACGTGGCCGGACAGCCCAAACAAATCGGAGAGGAGATCGGCATCGTCATGCAGGGATCCTACAGCTTCCAGACTCCTGACGGTCAGACCATCACCGTCAACTGGGTGGCCGACGAGAACGGCTTCCAGCCGCAGGGCGACGCCATTCCACAGGGCATCAATGCCCAGGCACCGGTGCTGTCTTCAGAGGAGTTCAAGTAGTGGCGTCTGAGAGCGCCTGATGATATTGTCACCATGACTGCACAATGAAAAATACACTGTTTTTGAGCTCATATTTACAACGAATTTTAGTTAGAGAGCAAGCAATTTTACGGTATGGAGCTAAGAGGCATGACATTAAAGGGACTATCCCACCTTCAAAAAAGTACCATTTAGGATTCGGAAATGTTACTCATGATATTGTGACGAATTCTGCAGGTTTTTACGCGTTTTCATTGTATACTTTTTGAGATATTGCGACTTTTATATTTCATCGTGACGTCATTTAGATCGGTTCTGTGACGTAATGAAGGATTTACTTCATGTCAATGTGGGGGAAATTTGGCAGCAAATATAGGTATTTGCTCTCAAATATGACGCGGCTCATACAATAACAAGTGTCTTTGATTAGCTTATTCGTAACTCAAGTGAAACTTCACATGCGTGACAGGCGTTCAAAATGCAAATGACGTCATCAAATGGCCGTTAATAGTTAAGAGATAGGGCCTTAGCTAAGGCCCACTTTTCAAATGAAGGGAACGAATTTCTTTAACACCACGAAGCTGAGGATATTGCGGTCAGGATATATAGTGGTTTCTGAACCTGGCCGCCAACTTGGCTATCTCAACTCAGAACTAATGCAAAGGTGGGACAGTCCCTTTAATGCAAAATGCCTGAAATTGGTTAGCAGTGCAAAACAATACCCTGGCAGGTTTGTCTTAAACTATGAAGCATAAGAGCACTACCTTAAAGTAAGCGAAACATTTTACTAGCCCGCGCCCCACTGGGGGTCCTGGATTGCCACGCCATGCTGAGGGGGGTGGGGGTTTGACCTTTCTAACTCGGTCCTGGGCCACGTAGCGATACTCGGAAGACGGCGTTCGAGAGAGCGCCAAAAATAATGACGAAAACACTTCGGTCACTTTATTGGTCAGGTCAAAGGTCAGGTCGCCAGAGGTCATTGCAGGCAAAATTTCGCCGATTTTCAGGTCGAATGTGGACAATTTCCAAGAAGTCAGCGCATAACTCTAGAAACAATAGAGCTACAGCGCTGCGGAAGAGCGCATTCGGTAGCCCTATTAACGCCCTTTCTGAGCTTATTCTCAGATTTGACCTCATATCAACGGTTTTGCCTGCAGGGGGCAAAAACTGCTAAAATAGCCGATTTTTTTCGGAAACAGTTTTCTGCAATAACTTTTGACTCAGGCATTGCACGAGATTGCTTTTACCTGCATCGTGTTCCACTTGTCAAGACGCATCAAATATACTATAATTTGACCTTGATAGGTCAATTTGAAAATTTGACCTCAGCTCAAGGTCATGACCTGACCCGAAAGGGTCATGGTGCGTATCAGTCGATCCGCATAGTCGAGCTGAACACAACCAATGCGTTTTCATCGCTCTAGCGTGCCTCTATCAAAAGTTATTCGCGAAAAACTGTTAAATACCATTCGTGACCTGGAATGACCTCAGGGGCATAAACAGGGGTCACAGGTACCACTTTCACTACGTGATATTTCTGAGACTAAGAATAATGCATACATGAATAGAATGAGGCTAATGCATACTTTTACTTTGTGGCAAAACAATAACTTGTTGAATTTCTGCGAAAGGTGACCGAAAAATAGAAAATGTGCTAACATGCATGTTAATATAACAGTACAAAATGTAAATACTACACTTTTATGATCATATCAAAGCAGCAAAGCTTTAAATGTTATACTTTACAGCTTCTGAAAAAGTAGGTGTGCAATTAATTTATCAACCTGAGTAAAAGTATGTAAGATTACTTTAAAGTCCCACTTAGCAAAGCTAATGTTTAGCTTTAACACGTACTGGGCTGGGTTTCGATGTAACCATAATCGCATTGCTACTGCAATCACAACATGGAGTATGAACATAGCTTCCATGCCGGATAAAGCCATATGCAGAATGGGTAAATCACGCAGAAACAGGTTTTCGATGTCCCATTTTTGCGGATTGGCCATTCTGACATGCCGCAGGCTTTGGTGCGGTATAAAAGGGCTCAGGGAGTCTCTGCAGCCGTCAGTTATTACCTGATCCGCAGACTCGACAATGAAACTGGTGAGTTACAACTCCTCTATGTCATTCCGGTGTATTAGACGCCCGCTTCGACTGGTCATTGATTTTGTCATGGCATTGTGACTACTTTGTGAAATAACCGCTTGTTATATAAATGCACCGCCACGCATTGCATTACATCACGCATGCATTACATTGCATCCGTCACATTTAAGTTACAAAAGATTATTAGCGAAATTGCTACTTAAGAAGCAAAACTTTGCATAAGATTGCAATAGCAGGCCGGCATTAGGTTATACATTGCAATGCTGATACGTCACCGCGCTTCGACTGAAAATAGCATTCATGTGTGATGTGTTTCTTTAGTTAGATAAACTTGACTATGTAAGTCAAATGCAAAGCTGAACATCAATCTGTATTGCAGTTCCTGCTGGCTTCTCTGGTGGTGCTGGCGGCCGCCCGGCCCCAGGACCTGGAGCCCCAGTACAAGACGCTCGAGGATGCCGGCATCCTGCGCATGGAGTCAACCATGAACGAGGACGGCTCGTTCCAGTACGGCTTCGAGACCACCGACCCGATCCAGCAGGACGTGGCAGGACAACCCAAACAAATCGGAGAGGAAATCGCTGTCGTCATGCAGGGATCGTACAGCTTCCAGACTCCTGAGGGTCAGACCATCACCATCAACTGGGTGGCCGACGAGAAGGGCTTCCAGCCGCAGGGCGACGCCATCCCGGTGGCTCCTGAGGATCCGAACGCCGCCGCGCAGGCCGCCGCTTTCGGCGCTCTGACACCTATCGAGCCAGTCGTTCTGGCCTCGCCCGGGGCACCCTCGTCCCTGATCTAATCTGAAATAAGACCGTCATCATAGGCCTTTGGGCAGGCTCAGTTTCCCGTATGGTAAAGCTGTTCCAAAAGGCAACTATCATCTTCGTGCACATGTGGTCCGCAAGAACAGAGTAGGCTGCGGAGTGGATTTTATGTACAATACATGTTTGCATGCATTGCTTGGATTTATAACTATACATTCGTGCAGTTGATCACCACCTTGCAGATCACTAGTCGAAAACCCATGCAGCCTTCACGTTCCCCAATCTCCATGTCCATCTACAAAATACAAACGGTGCTACGCGTATTTAGAGGCTGGATAATTCAACATGACTTGCCACCTACGCCAGAAAACAAAAAAAAATATTCTGCTATAAGAGACATAGAAACGAGCATTGATAATGAAAAAAAAAAAACACACACACACCATTGAAGAAACGAATAGTTTGGACATCAGCTATTCGCAGTCCAGAGCAATGATATATGGATAATGGAGGAAAAAGATGAATTGCCGGAAAAATCTACCGAAACAGGACTGACCGTGAGCGAGGTACGGTCATGGAGGTACAGCGCAGAGGTGTTTGATCATATTTTCACGGGCTTAACAATCGGTATCGCGTCCCAACTAACTATTCTGAAGCGCGTGGCACTGGTCTACTCCGGGTGGGGCAGGGCCTTATTCCGATGAACTGCTCAGGCGGGCGAGCCGCCCGCACCCTCTAAGTCAAGAGGTCAAAGGAGTGTGCCCTCATGAGTTCCCTCCCGCACTGCTTTACAGTAAGGAGTGCGGAGGCCGGAGAGAGAGACGAGGCTGTCAACGAACGGTCGCCTGACACATCTTGCCAGTTCGTGCTTGCTTCGCGAAGATTCATCAGCATCCGGTAGCATCGCTGGACGACTGCACTAAAGTAACAGCTCCGTGACAAGTGCTGGTCACTGAAAACCACGGCACTGACGATTTCATTGGAAAAGAAAATCATCATTTCCGAATTTGACGGAATGCTCTGAATTAATTGGTGTTGTGGCTCGGCGACCTAAAAATGACCATCTTTGTTTTAATTGGGTTAGATTTTTGACGATTTTAAGTGGACCCTGTAAGTGCTGTGCACGGTAAGAACTAAGAAGGATTGTAACCCGTGCTTTTAAGGCTTCAAGCATCATTAGGAATTGGGTGTCGTCAGCGTACACACATTACGATCCTACAATGATGGATGTGGGGTGGTACGTCGTGCATGAAGAGGATGAACAGCAGCGGACACAAAATAGAGCCCTGGACCATACCGCATCTAACGTTCAGCGCGTATGACCCGCCCGCACAGTCAGTCTACGTCCTCGCAGCAATGGGATGTGAACCTCTTGCGCCGCGCGCCGTGCCCTTCCAGCATGCACAAGAGGCGGCCACGTTCGCCACTGCCAAGTGCCATGGACGTTTCAGCTGTCAAAATGTCTCGATCATGCCATGACGTCATCTATCTTGATCGATGTTGTCGGTTGCGAGCGTTGAGCAGCGCCATCTCACTCACTGGCCTCGCCGGAAACTGCATTGTGTGCATTGTTAGATGCCAAGAATCGCCATCAGCTGTGTACAAACCACCCGCTCACATAACTTGGCCACGACAGAGATCACATAAATTGGCCGATAGTTAACTGAACCCTACGTGTCACTTCTATTATACAGCGCTGTGACAATGGCTGAATTCTGCCGATCAGATAAGTCGCAATTAGTGATACAAGTGGTGTGTGCTCTGAATGCTGGAAGTATGCAGCGCAACATATGCAGTATGCACGATTATCTCACCTGAGCCGCACGCTCATGATGCACGCGATCACGGCACGTGATGAACATATCCGCTGATCGACCACCGATGCGACAAGAAATGTATACCTACACTGGCAAAAACTGTGTTTCTAATAATATCACGACATCGAGTTCCAAGATAGTTGAAAATGCCATGGCAAATAATAAACTCATGTGCTGAGTAAGAAAATCACGCGAAAACAGGTTTTCGATGTCCCATTTTTGCGGATTGGTCACCCTGACATGCCGCTGGCTTTGGTGCGGTATAAAAGCCTGAGAGAGCCTCTGCAGTTGTCAGTAATTATTTGATCCGCAGACTCGACAATGAAGCTGGTGAGTTGTATATGTAAAAACTCCAGCGTATCAGATACGTCTTAGAACGGTAATTGGTATTGGCATGGCATAGTGTGACTGCCTAGCGAAACATCCGTTTATGGTATAGCCGCACAGTGCACAACTTATTATAAGCAAAGGTAATATTAGCGTTCTACATCAGCAGGTAGTACAATAAATGTTTATAGATGTCATCAGGATCAAAATCGTTTTTCTACTTCTATAGCCACTTCCATAGAAGTAGCTTTGCATAATAATAATAATAATAATAATAATAATAATTATAATAATAATAATAAAAATAATAATAATAATAATAATAATAATAATAATAATAAATGCGAACACTATTTTTGACCCATAGGTGCATGAGTGTATTTTGCATGCCAGTAAGACACCCCAAAATAGCACTACGCCTCATAGTTCAAATCTCAAGCGATTGGACTGGCCTTCGAGTTACGCTGGATTAATGGAAATATCGATGTGGTCAACTCGAGATTATACAGCCAGTAGAAATGTTTCTCTCATTAGATCGCTGACAATACCAATGTGTGGCCTTAGCCAAACTTCGTTAAATCTAACACAAAACCAAACATCAATCTGTATTGCAGTTCCTGCTGGCTTCTCTGGTGGTGCTGGCGGCCGCCCGGCCCCAGGACCTGGAGCCCCAGTACAAGACGCTCGAGGATGCCGGCATCCTGCGCATGGAGTCAACCATGAACGAGGACGGCTCGTTCCAGTACGGTTTCGAGACCACCGACCCGATCCAGCAGGACGTGGCCGGACAGCCCAAACAAATCGGAGAGGAAATCGCTGTCGTCATGCAGGGATCGTACAGCTTCCAGACCCCTGAGGGTCAGACCATCACCATCGACTGGGTGGCCGACGAGAAGGGTTTCCAGCCGCAAGGCGACGCCATCCCGGTGGCTCCCGAGGCGCCGAACGCCCCTGTTGTGGACCCCACACCAGTGCGTGGCACCCAGCGCCTTTTTACTGCACCTGTGGGCCTCATCTAAACATATGTTGGACCCTCCTCTTCAGCTTTTGGGTGGGCTCACTCAGAATGTCACAAGGCCACATACGCCTCTCAGAACTGGATATTATCTGAATATACTACAGATGCTTCTCTTGCAGAGATGAACCTCCTTCTGGGCGCGTTGAGTGCACTGGGCCATCGAACTATGAAGTTGATGCGATGTAAATATTATGTACCCACAATACATGTCTTTAGCGAGCACTAGATGATTTCTTACTGCGGGTCATCTTACACCATGTCATCCAGCGTTGTGGCGGTGGCTGACTGCTTCTGATAAGGAATGTCGCAAATGGTGGAAAATCTTTGATAGGTATGAATGGCCTGACCACCAACAAGAAATAGGGAAATATATGAACAGCAATACGTATAATTTGAACCGCAGGCAAGTGATAAGCGCATGCACTGACCGACGCGTCATTTATTGAGACCAATCAGTCAACATTTTTTTAGATGGGTAGTCCAAATCGATGGATGGGTGGCTTAGAGCCCGGGTACCTACACATCATGCTAAGCTATCCTTGCTGCAAGTGACACCACGGATCCACCACCCGACCTTGCCCACGCCCGGTTCACCGGATTGACTCGATCCTTGACCTTACCCGTTGACCTTATAGGTGCCCGTAAACATTTTTACCAATCCTTGGCCGTTAACCTCTTGAGTCCCGCCAATTCGCCCATGAATGGAGAGCAACGAAACTTTTTTGGCTGAGAGCTTTGGTGCCAATAATGACCAGATTGGTGACATTTCCATACTCGACATTTGCCATACTCGACCATAGATGCCATACTCGACATTGTCGAATGGGCGGCTCGCAGGGTCGATGGCGGCCACGTTGCGGCGGTGACGTCAGTAGACCTGAGCAAGGCATTCGACAGTGTCGATCACTCGTTGCTTCTGAACAAGCTCGAGTGGTATGGCATCTCATCCCGCTGGTTCAGCAGCTACCTCTCTGGCCGTTCCCAACTTGTCCGCTCCTCGACGGCACTCCCACTCTCCCACGGCGTCCCCCAGGGGTCCATAGTGGGCCCCATCCTCTTCCTCACCTTCGTCAACGACCTAACCTCTTTCCTCCCCCATGGCCGCCTCATATCCTACGCGGATGACACCCAAATCCTGGACTCAGCACCCTCCAAGCCCGATGACATCCAAGTGCTGAAGTCCCGGGCTGAGGAGAACATCCAACACCTTCATAACTGGTTTAGCTTGAACAGTTTGAAAATGAATGGAGAAAAAACATGTTTCACTCTTCTTGGGACGCAAAATTCTGTTGATAAAATGAAGGACTTTGTCCTCACAGTAAACGACGTAGATATTCGGCCAGCGAAAAATATCAAAGTGCTGGGTGTTCTCCTTGACCAAACCCTGAGCTGGGAGCCACACATATCCCACACATATCCTCCATCATTCGGCGAACCAATGCAATCCTCGTGTCACTCTTCAAAATTCGTCACCACCTCTCTCCTGACATCCTCAAAATCCTTGTCCAAGCCCACGTCCTTCCCCACCTCCAGTACTGTTCATCAGTCTGGGGTGGTGCATCCAAAACCTGCCTGGATCGACTGCAGAAGGTGGTGCATTTTGCGGCACGGTTGGTCTCCGGCCTCCGCAAATATGACCACGTGACCCCTGCTCTCGCCGCGCTCGGCTGGCCCAGCGTGCGGGAGATGATCGCGCGTCGTGATGCGCTCAATGTGCACCGTGCTCTGTTCGTCGCCGCTGCCCCCGAGTCGTTGCGAGCTATGTTTCCCTCACGCGCTTCCGTCTCCGAGAGGGCAACGCGCGCCGTCGCCGCGGGCCCGGCGGTGATCGAGTTGCCCCGAGTTCGCCTGGCGGTGGCCAGGCGGCAGTTTCCCTACCGAGCTGCCGCAGCTTGGAACGGCTTGCCGCGGGAGGTGGCGGCGACCGCCTCAAGGCGACAGCTGATGGAGCATTTTAAAGTGCAGCATTGATTGACTTATACTCTTTTATTCTTTGCATGTTTGTGCCGATATATGTGTGTACCTATGTGTTTTTTAGCATAGTTTTTTTTTTTTAGCAATGTGATATTTACATGTACTGACTGGGCCGTAATAGCCACTCTGTTGGAAAAGCCCTAATAAACGAATACGAATTTCAGCCGTGAAGGTCATCGCGCATGCGCAGTGACATGTATACTGGGATATACAAAAATACTCAAAGCCTATAAAATCTGACTGAAATGCAACCCATGAAAACTTCCATACAAACACCAAAGTGTATTTTTTCGTTTGTTTAGGGCGTAAAATGGCTAATAGTATTGACACGTTTAATTATTAACACCACTCGCCCTTAACCTCAGCTTCTTCTGCCCCTTGCCCACTGCTCTTAGGTCTTTAGTTGCCATTTCCTTTGAAGATATAGAACTTGTAGCACCTGTTGCGAGTCGATTAACAGTAGAGGAAGACCTTGCAGCAATATCTGAAGCGACATCTCTAAAAAAAATCGCCGTATGGTGTGTTTTAGAGAGGTGCTTGCCTATGTCATTGTGCTTGGGGGTCGGATTCTGATTCATCGGGCGATTTATCAAACTTTGAGTGAGGATCTACGGTCATTGAGGTCGCCAACGATTCGAAGAATGTCAACGCTCAACCACAGAGCCATTTGAAGGCATAATGTTGTTTGTGAGCCACAAAAAATGGCTTTAACTAACCCAGCAACCATGTATACTACAGTATACATGACTAGTCCTAGGCACAGTCCGTTGTATACTGACGTTTACATTTCTCCGTCGTGCAGGATCCCGTTGGTCACTCGGGTGTACATTTATTTTTTCAGAGGTCAATTCCTCCGAATAATTGTAGTGCTACTTCTTAAGCACGTCTCAAAATTTTTCGGGCCAAGGACATTTGTATACCTTAGTATACATGAACTTTAATTCTTTCTGGAAAAGTTCCAAACACACAATTTTGTTTACAAAACCTGCAAGCAATGATCAACAACGAATGGTTATGTTAGCAATACAACAGTTTTCGATGAGCCATACTCTTAAAAAGAAATAACAGGAAAATAATTAGAAGACGTGCCTCTATGCTGCGAACGCCGAGATACCGGGAAGATTGAAGCGCTGAGGCGTCAACAAATTCAACTTGAGGATATAAATTCAGCCACCAGGTGGCGGACCATGGCATGAAGAATGCAACGCATGGCCATGAAATAGCCTAGCCATTAGTGAATTCCGTAGAGATCGACTTAAGACGATGTATACCCCAGTATACAAAAAGAACCAAGAGGTTAACTTAAACACGTATGGACGAACCCGTTTTCATTTCCATGAAAATCCTAGGCCCAAGTCGGAGGGATGGGTCGTATCAGTAGCGGCGGAACACCTTCAATTAAGGGGGGGGGGGGGCACTGCCGACTTTTGGACTCATTCTTTCCATGCAACGCCCATAGGGCTAATATTAAAATGCCAAAATCAAAGGGTGGCACGGTGCCCCGGTGCCTTCCCCGTTCCGCCGCCTATGGGTCGTATTATCTCCACCCTATTTCATTGATGACGCCAAATTCGAAATGCCGGTGAGTTTTACTAGTGCAATCTCCGTCGCTCCAGTCGACAACTATATCAATACAGTCGTGAGGCAATGTCGCTGCTCCATCCAGACCCCGAAACACTGAAGCTGAAGGCCTGAGAGGGCCGGCCCAACTTCCTTTCACGTTTGGAATCGTTTGGTGCCGCCGAGTTTTGACCCCCCCCCCCCCCACGGCGGGCGTAGCCTCTTGGGCTGACTGAGACCGCTGACCCGAACCACGTGATCAGCTGACCGCACGCCATCGTTGAGCGTCTTAGCCCCGACATAATTGCATCCTCTTAATGTACCGGCGTTTGTTACTGTCCATTGGAATCAATGAGGCAACTTATTTGAATGCAGATATTGATATGAGGACAGCAACACTTATGCATTATCATGTGACGTCATAATATAAAACATCATGTCAGAACACTTCTTTTATTCAGTGTTCAGCTTGCTGACCTAGTCTACGTGACAGTATAGGAAGATTAGTCTTGCGGATAGGCAAGACAGAAAGACAGCAAAGCAGGAACCACCCATCGCACAAGCAGGGTCTTGATAGTTTCTCTGCAGCCACGACGATCATGTCACCACGTCACTGAATAGTCCTTTGTTCTGCCATAAGACATCGCCGGTACCTAGAAAGTCAACGTTTACGGGATAGCGTCACCCTCCGGCTGGAAGCCGTTCTCGTCGGCCACCCAGTTGACGGTGATGGTCTGACCGTCAGGAGTCTGGAAGCTGTAGGATCCCTGCATGGCGATGCCGATCTCCTCTCCGATTTGTTTGGGCTGTCCGGCCACGTCCTGCTGGATCGGGTCGGTGGTCTCGAAGCCGTACTGGAACGAGCCGTCCTCGTTCATGGTCGAATCCATGCGCAGGATGCCGGCATCCTCGAGCGTCTTGAACTTGGGTTCGTCCTGCGGCCGGGCGGCGGCCAGAGCCACCAGAGCGCAGACCACCAGCTGACAGAGGAGAAGATGGTCATACTGGAGATAAAACCAAATCACAACAAACGAAAGCTAAGAGCATGTCTACATACAGCGCCATGTAAAGCATGCAGATCACACACAGATAATACACGCACAGATGTACGAGCAACTTCATCATACAAATATATCAAGTTATTTGAGATGCATGCAACTCAGAGGATAAGCGCGTCTGATTCACTTACCAGCTTCATATTGAATCTCTTTCGATGCTAGGAGCGAACTGCTACTGTGAGATTCGGAGCTCTCTTTTATAGGCCGACTGGATTGTTTTTGTTTCCGAACTGGCTGCACTTGTTGGTATGCTACGCATCCTTTCCCGGTACGTGACCGCTCGTCGGAGATATCGACAGGTGATCTGCTTAGTGGTATTAGCGACAGTGGTGACTGCTGCTCTAACCAGGGTGCTCTGCGCTGCTACCGGTCAGTTACAGCAGATTAACGATAAAGGGAGATAATCTTGACAAACGGCTTGATTTAGGGAAATAAGAAGCAGCTGCGATGTGCAAGTGACAGCGTAAAAGGTGCGTTTCGCCCAAAAAACGCCATCTACCCCCAATTTTCTTCCAAGACTTTCAAATGGGTGGTCGACAGCAAACGAAGTTGTATTTTATTTTGACAAAGGGAAGTTATATGACACCTAGCCCGGCGCCTAACTCGAAAACTAATATTGCTACATCGCCCTGGAAAAACGCCTTTGATAGCCCTATTAACCCTCGCCCCGTTGGGGGGCATTTTGGCCCCCCTGTGGTTTTTCCTAAATAGCAAGAAAACGGCGGCGCGCAGCGCCGCCAAATTTTCAGTTCCTTCCCGGGCATCAATTTGACACCTTCACACCGAATTTCAAGTCTTATGTCACCTTAGGTCAGGAGTTATTGATGTCAAACTGAGGTCATGTCCGAGCAAAAATGAGCAAAAAAAAAAAACATGCAATCTTGAAACGCTCACCAAATTTACAGTTACTAAGCAATTTCAAAGATCTTTATATGGTCTAGTAGACAAAAAGCTGCGCTACAAAATTGCTATCTCGGATTTTTAAAATGTTGGGTTTTTGACCCCCAAAAATTCGAAAAATTGAGTTTTTTAGAAAAACTAAAAAAAATCCAAAATAATTCCGAATTTCGAAAAAACCGGAATATATATGATAGACCCTGTGCTTTCTATATACATACCAAATTTAAGATCGATATCTCGTTTTTTGGCCAAGTTATAGCGAAAAAACTGTTCAAAATGATGACGTCAAATTTTTGAACTCAATTTTTAGCGATTCTAGACCACGTAGGGCAAAATAAAGACCACCATTGAACTCCCTGTGACGAGCTGCATCGAATAGATACCCATTTTATGCAAAAATATTAACTTTGAAATTTGACCTAATTTGACCTGACCTTGACCTGACCTTGACCAAAACGTGACCTAAGCTGGCCCAAAAGTCTGCTTGACCCACATAATCACATTTGTCATGTAAAATGGACCATAAAACATGTATCACACGACACTTTCATATTGTGACCTGCAGTGACCTGACCTCTGTGACCTGACCTGGTATCAGTGACCTCAAATAGCAAAATATGTGTTTGAAGAACATTTCCCCATCGATGATTTTCAATGAAATGCATTTTACTGGATTTTACAACGCATTTCTTGAAATGCCTGTAAACGGTGAAAATTCGACCTTTGACCTGACCTGTGACGTCATCGGTTTGATCTAGGTCAATAAAATTGGGTCACAAGGTAGTTCCCTGATAGGGCTATCCAACACCGTTTGCCGCTTGTCGCTAGGTTGCGTGGTTCTCGAGATCTTAGGGGGGGGGGCAAATTGCCCCCCCTCAAACGGGGCGCGTTGCTCGGCAGAGCCCAACGGGGCGCGGGTTAACCCTCGCCGGCACAGGGGTGGGGGGCTGATGCAACCCCCCCCCTAAGGTTTTTCGCGAATAACTCGCGTAAAAAGCGGCCGATCGCGACGAAACTTTCAGTACCCTCGCATTGATTAATTTTACACCTACCCTGAAAATTGTATGACCCTGACCCAAATGCCCTTTGACCTGTGACCTACTTTCCGAGACCATGCTTGGCCGGAATCGCGATTTAGCGTATGTCGGCTCGCATTAGCCGCGCGTTTGTAAGCTTTTCGTGGTTTTAAACGTTCAAACATGTGATTTGATGTTGCTCCCATGCATAAGGGTGGATGCCAAGGTCACCTGAAGATCAGGTCAGGTCATTGACCTTAGGTGACCTCGGTTCACTTTTTCGAGTTTTACATGTTTCTAGGCTAGTTTTTGGAGCTGATTTCGAATTTAGCAACCATTTGAGCATTTACGAAGTAGTTTTGGTGCCATCGCAGCATGTTACGAAGCTGTCAGAGGCGGTTGACACGTATTACGAATACCGTCACGACCCCTACCGGTTGACCTGACCTGACCTGACCCGACCTGGTCTAAATGCTTAAAGACATCATCTCTGATCAAAACTAACACGATATTCGTGATCAGCACCCCAGAAAACCCCGTAGCAGCCACACTTTACAACTTACTAACAGGTCCCGATTTCCCCGATCTTCGGGTCATTGACATGACCTGGAAGGTTACCCGATGACCTAGGACCTTAAAATTGGATAGCATCGGCTTCGTCTTGTGACGGGCAGCACGCTCGTTTTTTCCGCGAAGCTCCTGCTCGATCAGGGGCCAAACGCGAGGGGGGGGGGGGATCGTACCGACCCCCTTGTGCCGTCGAAGGACGCAAAATGGCCTGTGCCGGCGCGGGTTAACATTCTTTCTAAATATTTCTTTCAGATTTGACCTTAGGTCAACGGTTTTGCCGGCAATGGACACGATCTGCCAAAGAAGACGTTTTTTTTGCGGAAACAGTTTTTATGCAACATCTTTTGACTCAAACCTTGAACGATTTACTTTTACCGGCATCGTGCTCCTCTCGTCACAATCGAATGAATTATGGTTTGACATCGAAGAGTCAACCTGAAAATTTGACCTCAGTTCAGGGTAAAAACCTGACAGGAAAACGTCATGTTGCATATCCGACGTCGAGTTGAACACATGAAAGGCATTTTCATCAGTCTAGCATGCCTCTATCAAAATTTATTCGCAAAAAACTGTTTAATACCATTCGTGACCTGAGTAAACTTCAGGAGCACAAAGAGGGGTCACGGGTGCCGTTTTTTAGTTTGGTGTGTCATTGTTACTTGTAATTCGGTGTTTGATTGTTTAGAATGACGTACGTTTCAAAGAGGCGCTTTTCAATATTCTTCCATTAGCATAAAATGGAGAGGTCGCAAAAATGACCTTAACTTAGGCATCTAAACTTTTATGAGGTGAGGTCACTTGACGTGACCTGGTGACCTGACCTTGAGAGACTTTGGTCTGAAATTTTAGACGTCATGTCAACGCCATTTCTTCTCAAATCCTTGCTCCAATCCAAGTCTTTGTGGCACTAAAGCAGAACGTGTTGCTGTGCAAATAGACTCGGTGCTATCAAAATGACTGCAATCGATCAAACACGCTCTTTCTTGGTTAACCGTAAACCCAAACAGGCATCAGCATTTATAGTAAAACCGAATAAATGAGAGCCTTTCGGTTACGGTTCTGCTACCTTGCATGACAGTGATTAGCTGAAAGCAGTGGTGACTTTTCATCTGCGATGTTGGTATGAGACTATGCATTCTTTTTTAAAGCTCATGATTTGTTTTGTTTCCATTGCATTCTCCTTTACTTCGTAGCCGACACGGTGCCATTCATCGCTATTTTTCTTGTATGTGACTTATTCTTGTGTCTTATTTGGGCGGGACATTATGTCAGATGTTCATGGAAGACACGAATATTTTTTCTTGATTGTCACAAAAGCTATCGGAGCAATCTTATGTTTTAATTTTCAGCGATTGAGGTGGATCATGAGCCTTTTAATGATAATGCAAAAAAAAAAAACGGATAGTAAAGACTCAAACGTGGCGTAGGCTCATGCCAAAATATTTGAGATTTGATGCTACATCAGAACTTGTTGGAGTCACTTGAGATCCTTGAATATTCCTACGATGACCTCAGTTTCTTTCAGTCACATGACCTGAGATTCGATCCTACAAAATGACTGGTGAACTTTTTTTGTACCTTTTACGTCATTATTTTTGTAATTGCTTTGGAACAATGGTCATCAGTTGTTGTAATAGGCATGTGTGATCTCCACATTGCTCCGTGATCCAGGAGCGAGTCCAAGATAGGTTTACCCCTGACTCCAGCCATTCGGTCCTCGGCTCAGTTCACCGTCATGACGCTCGTCAGCATTTTGTTGTTTCGAAAATACTAATAGTGTAGTGAATAGGAGAAAATACATGGTTAAGAACACGAGTTGTATTGCATGTTCAGTATGCTCAGCTATTCTACATGAATAATTATAACAATGTTCATACAACACTGGATTACAAAATCAATGTAATCAGAAGCTAATGTCAGCATTTCAGCCGTTGTCAGGCGGTCACCAGGGTGAAGGCACTAGGGTATGATCCGTTAAATTTGCTCGTTGAACTCGAGTTGCTCAGAAGCCTGTGACTGCGAGTTCGCGTCCTGAGGAATGGCCTCGCCCTGCGGCTGGAAGCCGTTCTCGTCGGCCACCCAGTTGATGGTGATGGTCTGACCCTCGGGGGTCTGGAAGCTATAGGATCCCTGCATAGTCATTCCAACTTCCTCTCCGATCTGTCTGGGCTGTCCAGCCACGTCCTGCTGGATCGGGTCGGTGGTCTCGAAGCCGTACTGGAACGAGCCGTCCTCGTTCATGTTCGACTCCATGCGCAGGATGCCAGCATCCTCAAGCGTCTTGTATTTGATCTCCTGGAGGATTGGAGAGTCATCGACGAAATCCTGCGGCCGGGCCGCGGCCAGGGCCACCAGAGCGCAGATCACCACCTGTCAGAGGAGCAGACGTGACGGTGAGTCGGTTGTTCATCTTGATATCGCTAAGGTATTATCAATTAGGCATTTAAATATATGGCGAATGTAAAACAATGAATTAAATAACATTTCGTGAAAACTAAGATCGATCGTGAATCGTGATAATAACGAAACATTTGAAGCGAAAGGTATTACTTTTTTTCTAGTGGTATCAATACCTTTCTGGGCAAGTTGTTCCTAAAATAGCTGATATTCTTTAAAAAAGGAAAATGCAGAACAAAACAAGACAATAGAAGCGCGCAACGATGATGCATTCAGTTGAATGGCTGAATGATTTCGGAGACCGCTTACCAGCTTCATGTTTCCTCAAATGGATGTCTTCAGCCGACTGCCAATGGTTGAGCCGAGAGGCCACCTTATATACGAAAGGGTGTTTTTGCTAACCCAC